TAGCGCAGATAGTCCTCGTGTAGCTTTGCTCGAAAATTCAAAACAAACAAACAAATATATTAATGCCAATAACAGCATCAATAAAGATGCAAAAAATTCCATCATGAGATACATAAATTTGGGGCATACATTACATTTTATGTAATATTTCCTTTCTTATTGCTGAAATTTAAGTCCTTTTATGTTTTTTTTATCTCCATGTGACTGGCTCAGTAGCATTTTAAAAGCCTTTTATAAATTTTTACTTTGTATTTGTCAGTAAGATTCTCAAGGTGCTATTAGTTAAGTTCTAAAAATATTCACTGCCAGTCTGAAAGGTATCTAATAGAGTTGAGTTTTTTGTGTCAATCTTCCTGGGCTGTATAATATATACTCTTGATATGATAAAGATTTCTGTTGTCTGAATGATTTACTGAATTGTTTCTTTGAAAGGTGCTTTAGCTGGCTTTGTACTAACTGTCAGTCAGAAGAGAAACTAAACTCATAATATTATACAGTGTTTCGTCTTATCCACACCTAATTTTTTAAATAACATAATATACTGACTTCGGTGACGAGGAACCCACTTTGAGACTAATAATGGCTGGAGACGGCTTGAATGGGTAATTCAAAACCTTGTCGAAACGTTGTACATTTGCTGTTATGTTAAACTTATATTAAAGTGTTTCTTCATTACCCATTCAAGCCGTCTCCAGCCATTATAATATACTGACTATTACAAAAATACAATAATTTTCATATGGAGTAGAAAATTTTACTAGAGCATGAAGAAATGTGAAACAGCAGTAGTTTTACAATACACCATATTCAAGGATCCCATACAATACACACCGTACACAAATTAAGATCATAAGGATCACATGCAATACACACCATACACAGATGAAGATCGTAAGAATCCCATACAACATACGTCATATACAGATGACGATCGTAAGGATCCCATACAATACACATGACGATCGTAATGATCCCATACAAAACACACCATACACAGATGAAGATCGTAATGATCCCATACAACACAAACACCATATACAGATGACGATCGTAAGGACCCCATATAATACACATCATATACAGATGACGATCGTAATGATCCCATACAAAACACACCATACACAGATGAAGATCGTAATGATCCCATACAACACAAACACCATATACAGATGACGATCGTAATGATCCCATACAAAACGCACCATACACAGTTGAAGATCTTACTAAAGATCCCATACAACACACACCATACACAATTGAAGATTGTAAGGATCCCATAAAACTCATAACAAGTCATATTTCTCCACTCTGATACATTGTAATTTCTTGTAACAGCCATGTATATATGGTTCTTAAAATACATAAACCACACAAGTAACTGATTCAGATCATCTCTGCTGGTTACATTCATCAATCTCATAATGCTTGATTTTTCAAAACCACGTTACTCAAATGTAAAACTCGTTAGATTTATATTTTCAGAATTAATTGTTCACCACCAGTGGCGACAGCGTGAATATGTTTACTCAGAATATGTCATAAACACAAATATCCTTAGTATTGTTTAGTCAGATTAGACTATGTACCTGAGTAACATTGATGCATTAAAATTATTCACGTAGGTTGTTAAAGAGTACATTTATGTATTTATAGTACATTATCCACACACACAACAAAAGGGAAAATCTATTTAAATTGCAGCAAGCACTTTTTATTTGGATATAGGAGTTACATGGGAGGATAAGGCACATTTTGTGGTAGCTTCAGTCTCGGTAAGACCCCCTTTCTTACCGCTGCCCCTGTTTTTCAGTTAACTCAACGACTGCACAGCACACAATGGTTCTTATGTAAAATCAGAACAGGATGTTCCTCATGGTACAATACCTTCAGTTGTGACCAAATGGCTCTCACAAAATGTAGAAATATGTGTACCGTAATACTCTATTAAAAAGCTTGGAGAAATAAGGATCAACAAGTCTTTTCGATTTTGAGCTTATAGTTTCGAAATTGGAGGTCACATAACTTTCCTAACTGCTCTGACCTCCTGGAAGGTCTTGGATGATATACCACTGCATTTTTACCTGAAGATTCCGATACGTATCCCAGAAAGTAAAAGGCATGACTCCTCTTTTTTTTTCTTGTTCTTTTTTTGGCACAAAAACTTAACTAAAACTAAATGTAGGTTCGTCACTCCCAGACCAGCTTTGTCATATTTTGGTACAACAGCAGCAGAAACTACGTAGTACACTTCAGCTCCTTGTACTACGTCAATAACGAGGACTAAAAAGCAGAGGCCCCATACCTCCACAAAAATGAGACACAGTTAGTGTTCGCTGCGTGCATTGTGATCGTTCCATGGTAACTTACTCACGTTCGCATATTGACTAAGTTCCCTTGTCAGTGGCACAGCGGTATGTCTGCGGACTTACAACGCTAAAAACCGGGTTTCGATACCCGTAGTGGGCAGAGCACAGATAGCCCTTGTGTAGCTTTGTGCATAATTAAAAACAAACCCTTGTCAGTCTTTTTTTTTCTTAGCACGACTTGGATGACTCTGGGCTCGCTACTAACCCAAACGATGTAAAGAATGATAACTTCTACGTCTCACGGTGACATCGAGAGGTCAGATTCAGCCCTGCGGAGTTTGGCATAGGGTTAATGACATGTGTATTAGAGTATTCATCCGAATCCTTTGTGGTAAAACATGTAAACAAACTTGCAGATTGCACCATTTAATTTTAAACCACACCGAACCCTGATGGCAGACACCAATATTTCTCAATAGAATTTTGCGTGTTGTAAATGAGAGGTGTCAGATAGGTGTTACGAACGTAATTAAATAGAATTTTGCGTGTTGTAAATGAGAGGTGTCAGATAGGTGTTACGAACGTAATTAAATATCCATGGTTTACTTATTAGCAGTCTCGCATTGTTTGAAACTAAAATGGCGAAATTAACATAAAAACTTTTTGACTGAAGTAAATAAACAGAATCCATATGTAACTAAATTATCTTATTTGTTTAATGCACAGTCGATCGATATATAGATTTAGGGACATCAATGAAAACACAGCATTTTATTGCAGGCCTTAGCTCTCTCAAGATTGTTAAAACTGTTCTCACGATC